TGACGTGATTCCTGACTCACAGTTGCCTTTGCTCCCTCAGGGTGGCGCTGTGCATTGACGGGCCGCAGCGCTTCTGCTCCAACAGTAACCGCCTGCTGGGGAGAGAGGCCATTAAGCAGAGGCACCTGCGCTTGCTCGGCTACCAGGTTGTTCAGGTAGGGCACCGCCCTCTGTTTTTTCCCTTCCCTCATAAAGCAGCCTCCCTGACAAGTTGGCGTTTTCAGTTCTCTACACTGACACACAGCACTGCTCTGGAGGGAACGGCAACCCAGGGGAGATGGGGAGCCCCCAGATGAGCGTGGGCAGGGGCGTGGACAGGGTGGCCCACTCAGGACGGCTGCCCTGTTGTCTGGTCCCAGTCTTGTTGGAACGTCCCAGTTACAGTTGTGCACCGCCAGCCTACGCGCTCTTCTGTCAGTTCCACGGACCAGCAAAAGCCCGAGCTGGGTGTGGATCGCACTGCGGTCTAAGCAAGGGTGGGATTCGTTCCGAGCCCTCTGATCAGTGTCCGCTCGTGGGTGTTACAGGCCCAGCCTCCACTTTAACTTGCTCTAACAGTACGTGGGCTGACATTCCGGCAGACCGCCATGATCTGTCTGGTTTCTGTCTTAGGTTTAAATTACTTGACTCGAATTTTGGTTCTTGGTTTCTCTGTGTAGTTTTCATGCCCATCCTGGATCTCGCTCTGTAGACAAGGCTGGCCTCGAACTTACAGAGATCCGCCTGGCTCTGCCTCCCAAGTGCTGAGATCAAAGGTGTGTGCCACCACCGCCCGGCCTTGACTTGCATTTTGTAGTTAGAGTCTTCAAAGCTTGGTGTTTTCCCAAGTGGTGCACACCTATTTCCCTGTCACTGCTTAACTCTGCCTGGAATCGCTAAGTTCCTGGGATAGGTTCTGCTTCTGTTTCTGTCTGATTTAGTCGGTAAGTCAAGGGACGTGGTTCCAGGGTCTTCATCTACCCTTGGTGTTTGCAACATTGTGTTTTCAGTAGGGACTTCGGAAGGTCTGCT